TGGGTGCTGATAGCAGCCATGCTGTTCCACGTACCGGTCAGCGGTGCTGTACTACTAGCAGCTGACCGGTGGAAGTCAGGCGGCAGGCTGTGTAAGGTAAGTAATAGGAATAGAAGAAGAATGGCAACAGAGTGCTTAGTGTGAGTTTACATCATCATCAGTTTACATCAAACGTTCTCACTAGTGAGCGTGTTAAAAAATTAAATGAAAAGTTTAGTTCTTGAAAGTTTCCACTAGGGGCGCATTACTGTACAATCCGTCATACATTTAATGTAGGTAATTATTTTACACGCTCACTAGTGACGACGTTTGAGGTAAACTTACACTAAGCCCTCAGAAGATTCATTATTATTATACATTTTATAAATATTATTATTATTTGCTTTTTGGATGTAAAAAATTAAAATTATGTTTCACGTTGAGCTAGACAGCAGTGTTGCCAATAAAGTGAGATTTTCAGCGAAAAAAAGAAAAGAAAAGTAACTAATAATTAAGGATTTTGTATTGCAATTTATGACTATGACGACATAATTGACTAAATTATTTGTTAGTGAAGACGTTTGATGTGAACTCGCACTAAGCCCCCAGGTCAAACAATAAAGTGTTGTATCCTTGAAATTATTGATTTAATGGTGTACTTAATCTTGTCATTTGCCCACAGCGNTATCATCATTTGATTTTTTAAATTTTCATACAAAATAAATTTTATAAAATCCGATTTGTATGAAAATTAAAATAATTAAAATGAAAATATCAATTTTCTGACTTCACCATACCATTTATATGACCATGTTAACATGGGCTAGTGCCGGCTCATATACCCATTTACCTAACACCCTGTATACAATGTTTTTTTTTATACATTTTTGTTTGTTATATTTTTTTTTGTTTTTAGTGTTATATTTATTTGTTTTTTTTTTTTATTTTATTTAATTTTTTTTTTTATTCGTTTAATTTTCCCTTCAATATTAACTTATTATTAACTACCGGTCAGTTTGGTTTTCCCCAAGACATTCTAGCCTTTATTTACGAACATGTATTCCCTTGTCAGGGGGCTCCGGCGGCGGGTCAGTGTGCCCCGAGACAGAGGCGGAGGCGGAGGCCGAGGCGGTGGACGTCAGCATACACACGCCTCTCGTGGCCGGCACCCCGCCCCCCGCGAGGCAACAGCACCACAGGTATGTACTCCGAATTTTCTGTAGATCCTGGCTACACAAGAGTTGCAGCGGTGAGAATGAGAGGTGGAAATAGTCCATACCAAAATTTCTAAAACAGTGATTTTGACGCACTTATGCTTCCGACTTTTTGTGTTTTAATGGCTCAAAGGTGCCTACGCGAGTCATGTTAAGAGAACTCCCACGTTGGGCGCCAATGTTTTCAAGACATTCAAAAAGACAATGCCGGAAATTGGCGTCTTTTTATTTTCGCGCGGCCATCGACCAAACTTTTTTGATTACAAAATAGTGTAATAAACCAAACTTACTATGACATGTATCCTCTAAACTCAGTCTGAACTGAGTTACGAGCATTAGAAGTTTGATGATTTACATACTAGATTTGCTTTTTGCGCGCAAGTTTTGTAAGAAATTGCAACAAAATAGTGACGTCTTTTTTTATTGCGCTGATTCTGCTCCACACTGATGGCTGGAGCCTATAATGGATGATATTGTTTGTTTACACATACAATGTCACTANGTTAGAAGTTTGATGATTTACATACTAGATTTGCTTTTTGCGCGCAAGTTTTGTAAGAAATTGCAACAAAATAGTGACATTGTATGTGAAAACAAACAATACCATCTATTAAAGGCTCCAGACATCAGTGTGGAGCAGAATCAGCGCAATAAAAAAATAGCGCAATATTTGGTTGCAATTTCTTACAAAACTTGCGCGCAAAAAGCAAATCTAGTATGTAAATCATCAAACTTCTAACGCTCGTAACTCAGTTCAGACTGAGTTTAGAGGTATATATGTCATAGTAAGTTTGGTTTATTACACTATTTTGTAATCAAAAAACAAAGTTTGGTCGATGGCCGCGCGAAAAAAAAAGACACCACCTTCCATACAAAGTCTGGCATTGCCATTTCAAGCGTCTAACTTAAGCAGTTAAGATTTTTCATACAAAAGGATTTTCCCGCTAATTCCCGGTCCCGTGGGAATTTCGGGAATACCTTGTTGTAACTAAGCTTTAAGTTTACTAAGGTACCTACATGCCAAATTTCAAGCGTCTAACTTAAACAGTTTAGATTTTTCATACAAAAGGATTTTCCCGCTAATTCCCGTTCCCGTGGGAATTTCTGGAATTCCCGTTCGCGTGGCAATTTCGGCAATTCCCGTTCCCGTGGGAATTTCGGCAATTCCCGTTCCCGTGGGAATTTCGGGAATTCCTTGTTGTAAGAAAGCTTTAAGTTTACTAATGTACCTACTACATACCAAATTTCAAGCGTCTAACTTAAGCAGTTTAGATTTTTCATACAAAAGGATTTTCCCGCTAATTCCTGTTCCCGTGGGAATCCATAAGTATACTATAACCTGCCCAGGAGTATGAAAAATAATTGTACCAAGTTTCGTTAAAATCCGTCGAGTAGTTTTTGTTTTTTTTTTATGAATTTTGATGGCCAGAACTGGCACATGACTGTGGCCAGAAATGGGGTAAAGCTGGCCAAAAATGGCACAAATTCCCATTTCTCTTTCTTTTCTACAGAATTATTTTTCCATTGAATCATTATGAAAAAAAATGTATTCTTAGGCTAGATATAAATATATTTAATCACTTTTTACAAGAAATAAGTCCGTGATAACAAAAACTGTAAAATGATATAGCCTCAAAGTCTAAAAAATTCTTAAAATGGCCAAAACCGGGTCACCTGCCCTAGGCCTCCCCCAATAATTTCCACAATGGCCGGTTGGTGGCGGCCTGCATCCAGCGCCTTCCTGCTACCTTTATGAGGTCGTCGGTCCACCTTGTGGATGGCAGCCTTATGCTGCGCTTTCCGGTACGTGGCCTCCAATCCAGAACCTTGCTGCCTCATCGGCCGTCAGTTTTGCTAACTAGGGCAGAATCGCTGGAAGACCTCGGCACAATGCTCGAAGACCTAATCGAGTCTCCCAACAGGTAGGCCTTGGACATGGACAAAACGAAGCTTATGACCATGTTCCGCCCTACCTATTTTCGGTTGGGAACCTGATTTTCGAAATTGTTGACAAGTATGTCAACCTCGGATAAACGATTCAGCTAAGTAGATTCAATTTCGAGAAAGCGGTAAATCGTCAAATCCTACNGCCGCGTTCGGGAAACTACACAACATCTTTTCGTCCAAAATACCTCAGTGCTTAAAGACGAAAGTCTTCAAACAATGTGTGTTACCAGTGATAATATACGGCTCGGAAACGTGGCCTCTCAAAGTTGCACAGCGTGCTATGAAGAGGGCTGTGCTTGGTGTTTCTTTACGAGTTCGAATCAGAAATGAGAAGCCCTGTTTACGAACTAAAGTCGCTGACCTGACATAGCCCGGCGGACTAGCAAGCTGAAGTGGCAATGGGCAGGGCACATAGTACGCAGAACAGTGGGACAAAAAGTTATGTTGAGAGACATGAGAAAATCATTGGTCTTTGCCAATTATGTACTTTGAGCTTTGTAGCAGGTTCTGGCGCGTTTAAACGCTTTGTTTAAAGTCTCAATTAAAACCTTTATCTGATTCCGATATTACGATATTGGGTCGCTCAATATCGGAATTGTAATATCGGATCTCATCTTCCGAGATTCCGATATTACGAGATTCCGAGATTCCGATATTCATGCCGAAGGTGTGACACGATGAGAACGCGAAAAATGACCCCGTTTTTTATCGTTTCATGTGATTTTTTCATATTATTTTTGCTTCTATTACGATAAAATTTATTTTGTATGTAGCTAAATAGATATTTTATCATCTGATTTCAAAGTTATTGTTCTAACTTATAGCATTTATGAACTATTATTGTGTGACCATCAAATTTGAGTGTAAATGAGAAGTACCCAATTGAAATCAAACGTCATTCACTCGAAAAAATAATACGTCAAAGACCAGTGTTCTCAGTTATTTACGTGGGAAAATTACCCGAAACATGGGAAATTAATAATAATTTTAGAACTTTTTAGTTATGTATTACGCATACTATGTAAATAAAATAATTTATCATAATAATTGTGTTTTAATGGGATATATTTTCATAGGCAAATTTGATCCTTCCCAAAAATGTGGAACTGCGAAATTCAAATTTTCTTACATTGATTGCAAGTCAGTGTCAGGTTGTATGTTAAAAAAAATCTATCAGAGATAATAATACATATATTGATGATGCATAAGATTATGATTATAATGTACACAAGATTCGTAATTTGTAACTGCGTGAATCATTTTTGATCAACATTATGTACATACCCTGACCCTGACACACTGACTTGCAAACAATGTAAGAAAATTTGAACATTGAAAATTTCGCGCCTACCTCAACGCATTCACCTTTCATCCTTTTAAAATGGCACGGAATAATCTTTCATCCTTTTAAAATGGCACGGAATAATAATTCTGTCTACATTTCCAAGTAACATCTGCCGGTCTATGTTTTTCTTAAAATAAATGGGTAAAATGTTTTGGCTAACATGGCATCCCTAAATTCACTCACACAATAGACAAACGCCAAAATTTTGCGTCACAGTTTTGTTGTAGCGCGAGTTCCGTCCGCCTTTTTTTATAGGTCCATGGAAATAACAATGGTCTCAATTATAGTCAAATTGCTTACATATGCCGCTGCCATTTTCCATAAGTATTTTTCACAATGGCTAATATTTGCTTCCCAATTTAATAAGCATTAACAATAACTAATATTTACCCATATAAATTTATTGATTAAAATATTTACCCATATCATAGCACCTTTAATACCTTCATGTACAATAACCTGCACAGTTCTAACGTTCAGCTTGTGGTCTCCCGTGAACACAGAATATTTTCCAGGAACTGAACGACAAGGAACAGAAAACGACGTCACTGCCCACACCACCGGCTTCCCATGCTCTGCATTCTACCACGCATGGGGTGGAGCACGTCAAGGTACAGGTTGGTCTTCATCGTTGAACCCTCAGATTCTAGAATTCCCTTTATCCAGAAGCAGAAGGCCACGTCGCTGCCCACGCCAACTGCCTACAGATACCAGGTTCGTTATCATCTTTGAATCTTCAGATTCTAGAATTCCGAATTTTCCAGGATTCCCTTTATCTAGGAGCAGAAGACGACGTCACTTGCTAGTCATGTGTTGCATTCCACCACACATGGGGTGGAGCACGTCAAGGTACAGGTTCGTTATCATCATCATTATTTCAGCCAAAAGATGTCCATTGCTGCACAAAATCCTCCCCAAGAATTGCAAAACAATGAATATTACTTTATTATTCCAAGTAAAGACCGATGACCTGGTAAAGGTTGTTAGTATTATGAGCTGTTGGTGATCCTCGAAAATAAATAGCAGCAGCAGGCTAGCAGTGTCCTTTGGTTAAACAAACTTTAGTCAACTCATCTCATTGCTAAGAAAGCATAGGTATAATACATTCAAATTAAAATGTAGGTAAACCAAAAGATTTTCAGAGGCTTAAAGTTGGGCATATAGCCAACATCGGAGGTATTTAAACAAGACGTATCAAAAATCATCATTGGTTAAATTCACTCTTATCGGTTGCTTATAGTTATAAAAATACATATTCCAAAAAGACAATATTTATTTCCTCAGGTGACCCCTGAAGCGCCAGTATCAGTGGACGCCCTAGGAGAACTGGTCAAAACCAACCCGTCATGTTGGCGAACATTCTGCGCCTTGGTCTACATCAGGACCGTCCGTATGATCCGGGATCCCTACAAGCTGTATGTCATGATCTTCATGCCTATAAGTAAGTATAATATTATTATATTGTATAGCATGCATAAAATGTTTCACATCTGTCTCCTTTTTAAGTTTGGTTGTACAACCTAGCCTTAGAAATATTTAAGGCCAAGGTGTAACCCACCTTATTTTAAGCTGCATGTATCTTTAATATAGGTAGTTAGGTAAAATAAAAAAATGATCTGTCAAATAACAACACGTTGGGCGCCAATATTTTGTTTACGTCTAAATCTGACTTAAATTATATTGTTGCCGCTGTCTACTAAGCACCCTTATATGCCAATGCTATTTACATGATTTGGGACCCCTTATTATTATGTATGCTATAGGTATGAAAGATATTTCAATGACACCACGTTGGGCGCCAAGAATTTTTAAACCATCATATAAGACTAAATTGACTTTAAAGGTGGAAAAAATAGACTAATTTAAAAAAAAATAGAAAATTGATATTGCTGTTGGCTGGCTATTATAAAGGACAATGACCAAAAGTGGTCCAAATGTCCACCACTAATGAGACCTATATTGGCTTATAGTCCATTAAATAGAGATTAACTTTCAGTATGAGACGAAAAAAAAATAAGATGTCAGTAAAAAGTTATGACTGTTTAAAAAAATGTAGTAGTTTACGCGCTAATCTCAGGAACTACTGGTCCGATTTGAAAAATTATTTTTGTTATGGATAGCCCATTTATCAAGGATAGTTTTAGGATAAATAACATCACCCTACAACCAATAGGGGCGGAGCAGTAAAGACAAATGTTGTAAAAATGGGAAATATTATTCAAACTATTTTCACGCGTACAAAGTCATAGGCACAGCTAGTATAATATTTAATAAAACTCATCTATAACCCCGCGCCATATGCGACATGACATAACATGCGTAGATTAGTCCAAAATGTGCAATGGATAGACTGATATCATGAACATTTTTCGGATGAAAAGGTAAAAAACAGACTTTTCATTCAGTCATAACTTTTTACTGACAGCATATTTTTGATTGCGATTTGGTTATAACGAATCAGTATTAGTAGACTATTTTACTACATAGGTCTCGTTAGTGGTGGACATTTGGACCACACACCTTACATTTTTGGTCATTGTCCTTTATTGTATGTATTGGTCAGTTGATCTTTAAAAGAGCGGTCATTCATTATGTAAATAATCGTACTCGTCTTTGTCGTAATCATTGTTTTGAAAGATTAAAAAAAGTATGTCCATTGAATTGTGATGTCATCATGCATGTAAATTCTTCTCATTCCAGTATCCTGCGCTCTCGGTCTCTACATGAAGTCAAGACAGATTGTATTTTTTCGGATGCAGCCGCTCAAATTGGACCCTAACGCCTATTTCAATAAGACCCCAATTGCAATATTCAGTGAAACGAACGACTTCAAAGAAGTATCCGACTTGAGGGATTCCCTCGAAATGCTTGGAGCTCATCCGATCATAGACTTTGACGGAAACTTCTCGAGTCTTCTCGATATGGAGAATTTTGGAGCATTCAATCTGAAAGGAAGCTTGGTGCCAGGTTTTGGGAAAGCAATGGCCTACTACAATAGCACGTATACGCACAGTTTGCCTATCATTATCAATTTGTTGGACAATAGTATTTATAGGTAAGTGATTCTGATACATAACTCCGAAGAACTAGATTGGTACTTTGTGGTTGAATTGTGCCTATTGTGTCCCAATTGAGAACAATCTGATCAATGATTCTTAAGTCAAAAATATTGGTACTTGGTAACTAATTATTGTAGCCGCCCTAAAAGCCCTGTTAAGGTCATAGCAGATTTATCAACTCGGAAAGGGATCAATACCGTATTGCCTTTCGCGCGCTGTCAACTCGAGGCGAGGCGTTTACGTTACGGAGCGGTGCACTTCACTGCAGTATGGAGTTTCATACAAAGAATACTGACCGCCTCAAGTTGATACGGTTACGATCCCTTTCCGGGTTGAATAAGTGTGCTACAACCAAACTGTGGAATGGACTTTCGTCTGCGGTGTTTCCGGACGGATACGACCTGCAAGCTTTCAAGAGGAGAGCGTATCTTTAACTTAAAAGCCGGTAACGCACCTGTAACGCCCCTGGGTCTGCGGGTGTCTATGGGCGACGGTAATCACTTACCGTGATCCGTCTGCTCGTTTGCCTCCTGTCACATAAAAAAAACGTCCTTTTTTTCAAAAACTCAAATTGTACATACTCGTACTTACTTAAGTACTGCATTAGTAATTTTTAAATTATAGTATTTTAAGTTAATGTATTATTATAAAATTATTGTTTATTCCCTTAAGTACTGCCATTTGGCATAGTCTTTGAAAAAAACTATCACCAGCTAATCTCTATTCTTTTCCAGGGTTTTAATGTCAGCGTCAGGTCTCCTCGAAAGTTTCAAGCCGATCGAGGTGCTGGCCCACCCGTTCCAACAGACGGAACAGCAAGAAGAGTTCAACGTGGGCAACGTGGTGTGTGCCATCTTTATGGGCATGATCTTCGCTCTGGTGCCGGTTACGCTGGCTGTGGATATTGTTTATGATAGGGAGGTGAGTGTAGTATACCCTTGGTTTTTGGATAGCCCTCTTTTCAAAGCGATTGAAATGACTAATATTCCCACCAAAGCTAGCTAGCTAGCTAAGCTAAATATACTTGTGTTAGAAGTGTGTCCCCCACATTGAGATATAATGTACTACGTACGTACAGTAATATTACTTCAATGGTCCCCCACAGCCAGTCGACAGGGGTTGAACTTCGTCCTTGTAAAATTATCGAATCGGTAGTCCGACACCTTAACCATTGGGCTATAGTTATTAGGATGACTACTTCAAGAAGGTAACTGCCTGTGACTGGATAAAAACAGCAGGAGATCGTGCTTGTAGGCCTTCTGATCTTTGGGAGAACATGATAATGGATTGACATTGACGAAGATAATATTTAATATTTTGACAATGTTGATCTCATAAAAAAGTTACAGTAGTATAAGTTATGTAGTATTTTAGTCCAGTCATTACGTACATTCAAAAAAGAAAATGAATTTGCGCTTCTAATTTTTTAATATGTTGTAGGGGATGCCTAGAAAAGCTTAACTTGAGATTGTCGACCAAACTTTCCTAGGAGCTTTCGCCGCCATGTTGAAAAAAGGGGTAAAATTTGTTTTTCGGCAATAACTCGGCTATCCGATGAGACTCGAAAATTTTTGTAGGACACTTTTTGTAGCTTTCTTTGTGCTCTACAATAACGCCCGAACCATTTTTAGCGTATCATGCATCGTTATCGAGATATCGATCGATAAAGTCAAAAATTTTGGACACAAATTATTTCGGAATAATTAAATAATTAACGTCAGATACGTACAACATAACTTCGAAGGAAAGGTTGCAATCATATTCGACGGTTATCCGACTGATATGACACTCGCTGGAACGAAAACTTCGGAAAGAGTACGACGTTCGAGAAAAAACCAATCGCCGGAGTTCACATTCGATGAGACAACTACTCCAAAAGTTAGCCAGGAGAAGTTTCTCACAAGGGATCAAAACAAGAACCAACTAATACAAATGCTTTGCCGTTACTTAAAAAAAAGTAATTAAAAAGTAATTAAAAGTAATTAAATTTTACTTTTTACTTTTTAATTAATTATTTAATTATTTCGGAATTTTTCATATTTATTAAGACCCAAAGAAAAAAAAAGAAAAAAACAAAAATTGTGTCCAAAATTTTTGACTTTATCGATCGATATCTCGATAACGATGCATGATACGCTAAAAATGGTTCGGGCGTTATTGTAGAGCACAAAGAAAGCTACAAAAAGTGTCCTACAAAAATTTTCGAATCTCATCGGATAGCCGAGTTATTGCCGAAAAACAAATTTTAAGCGTTTTCCAAGATGGCGGCGAAAGCTCCTAGGAAAGCTTGGTCGACAATCTCAAGTTAAGCTTTTCTAGGTATCCCCTACAACATATTAAAAAATTAGAAGCGCAAATTCATTTTCTTTTATTTGCCTTTTTTTCGGACGAAATGACTGGACTATTTGAAGACAATGTATAAAAATCTACTTACTTTTCAGATAAAAGCCAAGAATCAGTTGCGGGTGAACGGGCTGTCGATGAGCATGTACTTCCTCACTTACTTCACGATCCTGATCTTCATCATGATCATCACAAGCGCAGGAGTACTAGTTCTAGTAAGTTCACATACATTATTATGAAAAAACTTTATTGCACAATAAAATAGTACAAAAGGTGGACTTAATGCTATTTAAGTATTCTCAGCCAGTCGACCCCTGGGTTATGCAGAAAGCTGTGAGTGCGAAGGTAGAATACATACATGCAAAATTAACTCAAAACTCATATCCGGTCAAAACTACTTTTGACTGCAAAAATCAAGCAAAAGTGGTATTGACCAATGCTCTTAGTTAAAACCACTTTTGACTGAATTTTACTGTCAAAACTATTATTGAGTATGGACTTTAGCCAAAACCAAAACCACTTTTAACATTCATGACCCTTTTAGATCATATACATGTTTTTGCTCTATTATTAATTAGTTACCTATTGTAAAGCTAAATAAGACAGTGTCTACTGCTAATGGCACATGAAACGAAAAGCTGGCAAAGAATGCCTACTGGCATCATGTCTACCATTTGTACCTACAATTTCGCATGCAATCAAATTTCTAACTAATCGTGGTTAGTTCACATTATCTTTTCTTCAACCAGGTGATCCTCAACGACATCCCGAGCCTGACCAACGGCTCCGCCATCATGATGCTGTGCTTCCTACTTATTCTCTACAGCCCGTCGGCCATCTTGTTCAACACGTGCCTGTCTTACGTGTTCGACAAGATGGACTCCGCTCAGAGCATCATGCCAAACATTACTACGTGGGTCGGCGTCATACCGTTTATACTGGTCGCTGTTATGGATACTTTTAAATGGGGTAAGTTAGTTATGTTAAAAGGGACTATTCCCACCTCTCGTTTCCACCTCTGCAACTCCTGTGTAGCCAGGATCTACAGCTTGACCGCCATAAAAACCCAACCAATGAAGGTCAAGTTTGTCCCGGGGGAAAGTTAAAGTGCCATTGGACCCGCAACGAAATTAATCAGAAGAACATAGGAGGAGTTCGAAATTAAGGTTCGACTTCCCTCCATTGCAAAGCGGATGACAGATGGCAAACAAAGGTTTAAAATCTTTAAGAAAAGATTATGCACCACGGACAATAAATATCAATTAAGGGGGCCTAGCTCTGTCTGTTAGGTTATAATGTATTAGATTGTTTCATCCACGATGACGCGCCCCACCAATTTTTGGTCTCGGTAGCGCGGGGTGCGGGGAGTTTGATCCGAGCAATCCGAGCGGCATTATTGTAGTGTGCGTGTGCACTCGTGGATAATTTGGCGTGTACCGATAACACTCAAAGATTAGCGGAAGAATGGTGGGGCGCGTCTTCGTTCGAACGATTTCTAGTCAATTATTTAAGGATTAGTAAATGTTACTGTAAATAAAAATACATTTATGTTTTAATGACTTTTACTCTTGTTACAGGTAGCGATATAGCGTTCTATCTTCATTTAGTGTTTAGTTTCTTGGATGTTATGTACATACCTTATGCAATCATCTATTACGTTGATAGGTGAGTTGGTTTTGTCTTTTTAGTAAGTTTTAGAATGTAAGTAATTCTATATTAACACCATCTGTGTGATGTAGCCATCATACATGGTAAATCAAGGGTCTTTCAGACACCAGTAGACATTGTATAACCTCACGCTTTCTAGAAAATATCTCCTTATCTTCTAAATCAACTATATTTATTCTATCTTTCTAACTTATTACGCATTTACAAACTCTTAAATAAAACAATTCTCATCAGAAAAAAAATACAGAAACATACACACACACACAATAAATTACGCGGGAAGTAAGTAAGTACCTCTTTAAAATAAATATTAACCTTCCCCAGAGTATACCTGACGTGCAACCTACGCGGGCTGTGCACGACGCCAGCGCTGTCCAGCTACTTCACAGCAGAAGTGTGGGTGCTGATAGCAGCCATGCTGTTCCACGTACCAGTCAGCGGGGCTGTACTGCTGGCTGCTGACCGGTGGAAGTCAGGCGGCAGGCTGTGTAAGGTAAGCCATCCGGTACTGATAGAAGAAGAATGGCAACAGAAGACTCATTTACATTTTATAAAGATTTGCTTTTTGGATGTTAATTATTATGTTTCACGTTGAGCTGGACAGTGAAAATTTCAACAAAAAAAGAAATAAAATAAAATTAAAAAATATTAATAGGTACCTAACTAATCGATAAAGTAGTCAATTGAAATAATGCTTTTTATCTGCCAGAACAGTAGTCCCATATTTTTTATTGCAATTTATGACTATGACGACAGAATTGACTAAATATTTGTTATTTCAAAACAACAGCAAACCACTTTCATAGTTCATTGAAATCCTTCTCCGATTTCAATATGAAATAAAGAAATAAAGAAAACTCGCACTAAGCATACTGAAAACGGAGATGGATTTCAATTAATAATTAAAATGGTTTGCTGTTGTTATGAAATAACAAATATTTAGTCAATTCTGTCGTCATAACCATACATTGCAAAAAATGAAGTGTTCTTTTAATAAGTATCCTTTAAATTATTGATTTATTGGTGTACTTAATCTTGTCATTTGTCCACAGCGCAAACGCAGCAGTAGCGAGAGCCCGGTAGACCTGGAGACAGACATGGGCGGCTGCGAGGCGGGCGAGGACGAGGACGTGCGCCGCGAGCGCCGGCGCGTGGCCGCCGTCATGCAGCAGCCCAGCGCCAACGCGCCGGTCCTTGTTGTGCATGTGAGTGGATACCTAGTGATGTCGTCTAGATCAGTCTTTCCCAAAGTGGGCGATAACGCCCCCTTGTGGGCACTGCAGGCTTAAAGGGGGGCGGTAAGAGACCAAAAATCGGGACGTTGTGTAGAGGCTTCGGAGGCGTCATCTACTAGGAGGACTCTTAGACACCGACTGAGCTCGACTCTTGACTACAAAAATGGGGGGTGCTAAAAAAGAATTTATTCTCAAAGTGGGCACTAGNGGGGTCATTGGACAAAATTCTACGTGCTCACGGACCACACTATAGATAAACAAATGCAGCAGTAGTGCGCCGCGAGCGCCGGCGCGTGGCCGCCGTCATGCAGCAGCCGAGCGCCAACGCGCCCGTGCTTGTTGTGCATGTGAGTGGATAGCGATGTCGTCAAAAGCCCGTTCCGTGAGCACTTAGAATTTTGTCCAATGACCCCTAGCTACCCATCCTTATCGCTCGCGCGTAATTATTTTGCTGTCGCAACTGTGCGTCGGGCGCCCGCAGTGAGTGTGCGAGCGCGATAGCAACATAATTACGCGCGAGCGATAAGGATGAGTAGCTTGGGGTCATTGGACAAAATTCTACGTGCTCACGGACCAGACTATAGATAAACAAACGCAGCAGTAGTGCGCCGCGAGCGCCGGCGCGTGGCCGCCGTCATGCAGCAGCCCAGCGCCAACGCGCCCGTGCTTGTTGTGCATGTGAGTGGATTGTGATGTCATCTAGATAAATTAAATTATCACTAATTTTACCAAGTCCTTTGTATTTATGTATTTAATTGTAAACTGATGAAGGGATATTGGTGAAGCCAAAAGGCATATAGTTGAATTCATATTTATGCAACAAACTATTCAAATAATTGGGTCATGCAGCAGCGCAGCCCACCGCCAACGCGCCGGTGCTTGTTGTGCACGTGAGTGGATAGCGATGTCGTCTAGATAAACAAACGCAGCAGTAGTGCGCCGCGAGCGCCGGCGCGTGGCCGCCGTCAAGCAGCAGCCTAGCGCCAACGCGCCGGTGCTTGTTGTGCATGTGAGTTGACTATAATAAATCATAGAAAATTTCAGACTCTCATTATTATGATGTCATCTAGATAAATAGTAGCACACGACACAAGCTGAGATGGGGATCTTTTTGCTGCTGCAACACCTCCTGGATAATTTTGCCGATGCCCTTCTTTTGACCTTAATATATTATGATTGATACTGTGATGTTGACTGTGTCAGCAAAATAAACGTTTTGTATAAACCAAGTATTAAAAAATCCAATTTTTTTTTAAATTGACTAAATGGCTTGTAGTGCATCTAAGTTGATGATGATGTCGTCTAGAAAAGTTAATACAGGAAAATATTTCCCACAATCTTTAACTAATTAAATTCTAAGTAAACATAGTATAGGGGTGTTAGTGAAGCTATAAGGCGTTTTATTTCATATTTTAACTTACAAAATAATCATTTAGTAAACACGTTTATTATTCCGTAGAATCTGCGCAAAGAGTACAAAGTCCGCGGCACGGGCACCAGCTGCTGCGGCGGCGGTGGCGACGAGCCTCGCGCCAGGGCTCGGCGGGCAGGCCTGGCCCGGCTGAGTTTAGCCGTACACGGGGGCGAAGTCTTCGGCCTGCTCGGACACAACGGCGCGGGGAAGACCACCACTATGAAGATTATCACGGCTGAGGAGCGGCCCACTTGCGGCACTGTAAGTCGTTTTTTGTTGAGTTGATATTCTAGTTGAACGACTTGTTGAAGGTTGACGACGGTTGAAGGCACAAGAGCGCGCGGCAGGTTGCCCATACGCTGGACCGATCAGATCAAAACCGTACTTAATGGTCCACTCCACGAGTGTACAAGAAGGGCTGTACAGTGCGGGATGAATGGCGATGGATTGTGAAGCTTGCCACCTTACATGGTGTGACGACCACGACCACTCTGCCAAGAGTGTAGCGACGAAGAAGAAGAATTCTAGTTGATAGTTGAATGGACTCAAAGAATTCGACTGGTATCGGTCTATTGTGATCGCCGCTATTTTATGGTTTTCCATAAAATGCTGCATCTTATTTAACTTCCGACAAAAAAAGGGTGTTATCAGTTTTGATCTTTGTACCTTTCTATTTAAGATGCGTCTTCCTTCTTCATTTGGCTCGCTTTAAATACGATTGTCTCCTTGCAGGTGATGCTAGGCGGCGAGAGCATCGACAGCCCGCAGGCGTCGACGTTCCAGATGCTAGGCTACTGTCCGCAGCACGACGCGCTGTGGAAGAACGTCACCATTCGCGAGCACATCGAGTGCTACGCCGCTATCCGAGGCGTCAGCAAGAGCGACACGCCCAGGTAAGCCATGCCATGCCATGCCATGCCACGCCACGCCTAGGCCAGGATCAAGAGCCTGCAGGCCTCCCATGCCATGCCCAGACCAGGATCAAGAGCCTGCAGGCCTCCCATGCCATTCCCATGCTAGTATCGATAGCCTGGAGGTGTTCATATTTAAGATACTGTCCGCAGCACGACACGCCCAGGTAAGCCATGCCATGTCACGCCTAGCCTAGGATCGACAGCCCGCAGGCGTCTACGTTCAGGCTAGTATCGACAACCCACAGGCGTCTACGTTCCTGCCCGCTGCCTGCTGCGTTAACTGCCCGCAAGAGCGACAGGCCCAGGTATACCAAACCTAGGCCAGTTCAGGTGGCGAGTATGCCATGAAGAAGTAAAAGTACTTACTCAAAATTTGATTTATCATCACCATCAGGTCATTTAGTCTCCACTGCAGGGACACGACCCTATCAAATTTACCCAAGGCAATTATGAAGAGATTACAGTCTCTTACAAAATTCCACGGCAAAGTTTTCTTGATGCAATTTAGTTCTTCGATAATTTCAGCTCTATGAAAAACGTATTGTTACGTAAAGTAGACAGGCTATGATAGATTGAAACGACTGTATTGTAATATGACCACCCTTTGTACGACGAAATAGTGCTACCTAGTAAAGCACAAAAAACAGTGCAGGTGATTAACTTGATATAAGCTACTTAAAAAAATAGCATAATTTAGTCACTGTCAACTAAAATAAATCCAATTGCAGGATAGTGGACGCGTACCTAAACGGCTTGCAAATAATGGAGCACGCGAGCAAGAACGCGGACGAATGCTCGGGCGGCACGCGCCGCAAGCTGTCGTTCGCGCTCGCCATGGTGGGCACGCCGCGCGTCGTGCTGCTGGACGAGCCGTCCACGGGCATGGACCCGCGCAGCAAGCGGTTCCTGTGGGACACCATCCTGGCCAGCTTCCAGGTATAGTACAAGCTAATCTGCACCATAATATTTAGGGCCAAAGAGTGGTAGTAACCAGGATAATATGGAAGTTATAGTCGCTAAGTAACTGCTGGCTATGATCCATGCAACGAGCGAATCTTACACCTTAGCGCTCACAGCATGCTTGGCAGTCCCTCAAAGAGCCTCCAGAGGCATAGACTTACGCAGCAACCGGTTCCTGTGGAACACCATCCTGGCCAGCTTCCAGGTACCTTAGCAATACTTAGCACCCACAGAACAAAGGTTTTTTTTATGTGACAGGAGGCAAACGAACAAACGGATCACCTGATGGTAAGTAATTACCGTCACCCGTAGACACCCGCAGTCCCAGGGGCGTTACAGGTGCGTTGCCGGCCTTTAAGGTGACAATCGATCGGCTAAACTCGACGAGTATCGACCCTCACAGTAGTGCTCACAGGCCACAACATAGAGGCGACAGTGGCTTGGCAGCCGTTCCATGAGCCACCTCAGGCGTGGAACCGTGCAGAATGCCAATGTGCATCCACAGCATAGAGGCAGCAGTCGCTCGACAACCTGTGGCACACCATCCCTAGCCAACTCCCAGATACCTTTACTGCCACAACATAAAGGTATAAGTCCCTTGGCAATGCCTCGACTGACATGGATACAGCAAGCAAATGTGTACCTTAGATGCAGCAAGTGAATGTCAACCTTAGCGCCCACAGCATCGAGGTGGCAGGTGCTTGGCAGTCCCTCAAAGAGCCTCCAGTGGTATAGACTTACGCTGCAACCGTTTCCTGTTGACACCATCCTGGCCAGATTCCAGGTACCTACCTTAGCTCCTACAGCATAGAGGCGACAATCACTCAACTAGATCCTGTCCAGCTTAGATCCATGCAGCAAGAGAATATGCACCTTAGTGTTCACACAATAGAGATGACAGTCGCTCGCCATGGTGGGCACGCCGCGCGTCGTGCTGCTGGACGAGCCGTCCACCGGCATGGACCCGCGCAGCAAGCGGTTCCTGTGGGACACCATCCTGGCCAGCTTCCAGGTAACCCTACTGCCCAGGGTATAGAGGTGATAGTCGCTAAGCAGCGCCGCTTGACTACGATCCATCCATCCATCTATGATTCGGATCATCACCTCGTCTGACTATGATCCATGCAGCAAGCGAATATACACCTTAGCGCCCACAACGTAGGAACATATTGCAGTTACTTGGACACGTACAGGTTCCTTAGGGACACCATCCTGGCTAGCTTCCAGGCTTCCAGGTACCTTAAGCTCCTACAGCATTGAGGCAACAATCGCTCGGCAACACTCAACAAGCCTTTACTGGAATAGAATCGCACAGCATGCCAATGTGCACCTTAGGTCCACAGCATAGAGATAGACGACCAGTAGAAGACCATCCTGGCCAGCTTCCAGATAACGGGATAAGCGATCAAGCGATCTGCACCATATCTAGACCACAGAGGTGGCAGTCGCACGGCATGGCACCGGCGTGAGCCCACGTAGCAAGGAAATGAAACTCTATAATTATGTGCACTACATGTGCACCTTAGCACCCACAGAATAAACGCTTCGGTCGCTTGACAATGCTGACATTTTATGACACATTTAAATACTTTGAGTCTTCGAGCCCTCTACAGGAATAGGTATACTCTTTACCACCCATAACATATAGAGCCAAAATTCGGTTGTAAAGCTTCCAATCACAATTTACTTAAATGTTTTCTTGTTACAGGGTAAGAAAGGTGCTATTCTGACGACACATTCCATGGAAGAGGCTGATGCTTTATGTTCTAGAGTTGGGATTATGGTTAAAGGTGGTCTTAGGTAAGGAACCCTTCATATATTTTATTTATCTACTACTAAGGAACTAGCACGGGAACTAGGTAGGTGGAAACTAACACATTTTTTGGTCTTTCAGATGTATTGGTTCGACACAACACTTGAAGAATTTGTATGGCGCTGGCTACACGTTAGAAATGAAGATTGGGCAGAGTAATCAGAAAGTGGTATGTTATCTATACTTATAATAAATCTGTAGAGAGGTCAATTCTGTACATGAAATATATTTTCAAAATAACTATCAGGGGTTGATTGGTGATCGATACTGATGCCAAAAATGCAATCAGTAAAATTTTTGTCTGTCTGTCTGTCCGTCTGTCTGTCCGTCTGTCTGTCCGTCTGTATGTTCCTTATAAAAACAAAAACTACTCGACGGATTTTAACGAAACTTGGTACAATTATTCCTCATACTCCTGGGCAGGTTATAGTATACTTAGGAACACGTTCCCACGAGAACAGGAATTAGCGGGAAAATCCTTTTGTTTGAAAAATCTAAACCGCTTAAGTTAGACGCTTGAAATTTGGCATGTAGGTACCATAGTAAACTTGAAGCTTAGTTACAACAGGATATTGCAAAAATCCCACGGGAACGGGAGTTAGCGGGAAAAAATATTTGTATGAAAAAATCTAAACCGCGTAAGATAGATGAAGGGGGTAAAACGGGATCCACGCGTACGAAGTCGCGGGCGGCCGCTAGTTTATTATAAACTCTTAAAACATAGCACTAACTATTTAACCTTTAACATTGCCTAATAACTACTACTAACGTGGATTTAGTCCCAAAAAAAATTGAGAGCTAAACATTATTTCTATACCCAAAGATCGGTTATTCGGAACGTTGTTACATTAAAGTACACTCTACTTCTTAAGGACGAAGCACACCTATCAATTCGGGAACGGATCGTAATCGTATCAACTCGAGGCGATTAATTTTTTTTTGTATGAAACTCGGAATCACTTATCAACACCGTAACTTAAATGGCGATACAGTATTGATCCCTTTCCGGGTTGATAAATGTGCTATGACCTTTACCCTTCGACGTCTTTGCTGTTAAATTAAATTATTATTAAAGTACTGAAACTGTTTTTATAGATGATGGAGCCCGAGCTATCGATGTCTCCGTCGCCGCTCCGGTCGACAGAGAACTCGCCCTCGTTAGGGGAAGCTGATGAGGGTAAGAACTTAAATATACTACTACTTTAAACCCGGTTTCCACCAAGGCAGAGCAGAGCGGAGATGAGAGGAGATGTGCGGCGAAGCTGGCAAGCTATTTCCACAAAAACGGAGCGGAGAGGAGAGGGATGTGTGAAGCTTCAACCACATTAACGCGTGCAGATCGCCATCGCTGGCGCGATTAAAGGCCAATGACAGGTTGCGCGACCCATGACAGTTCACTATGACTGTCATTTCCCTATGATCGCGCCGTGGTCGCATCGGCGATGGCGATCTAATAGATGTCCCACGCTGAACTGTACCACCAAACTCAATGACATGGGGGCGCTACCATCGTTCAACTATATGGTTTCTAACATGGCAAAAATCGGAACTAGCGATCCGGTATTGACGGTGGCGCCCCACTGTCAATGTCATGCATAGGACAGTTCAGTATTTTGGAACTATACACGCGTTGGTGTGGTTGAAGCATGAGCTGTGCGTAGGTGTCAGCTGTCAGTCTATTGCTGTCTATGAAACATCGCACTGCTTCGCGCCGTGCTGTCAAATTCTATAGAAAAATGAGTGCGCCCGACACTTCTCTCTTCTCCGCTCGATCCATTTCACGGTAATAGTATCTATACAGTATTCCAACTCGGCCATATTTTTGAAATAAATGTCAACAGCCGCGCGGTACGTCACCGTATGACAACATGCGATAGGGCTGCCCACCTGCAGACCCTATTTTCATTACATCTGCCTACTTAGAATTTCTATCTTGTTTTGTGGATGTATTTTGTGATTGTATTTTTTTATTTTATTTTAACAAACAAAATACTTTTTGAATGAAATAGGGTAAAAATGCATGTTGTCTTGTCATTAGTAGATTTAATAAAAAAATATATTTGTGTTAAGATTTAGTAACAATTCTTATTTTGCGACCGTAAAATGTATGCGCCTCGACTGAGGCATACAAAATGCTTGATTATTATACAGGTTGTTAGGTAAATGGGTTTTAAGCGGACAGTAGCCCATGTTAACATGTGCATATAAATGGTATGGTGAAGTCAGAAAATTGATATCATCATTTTAATAATTTTAATTTTCATACAAATCTGATTTTATAAAATTTTGTATGAAAATTTAAAAAAAATTATATCACTGACTTCACCATACCATTTACATGCATACATGTTAACATGGGCTAGTGTCGGCTTACAAACCCATTTACCTAACACCCTGTATAAATAGGTACTTGTAATTTTTTTTATAAAAAACACTGTTTAAAAAACAACACATCGTCCGTTTATTACTGTGGCACATTCGCGACACCCCCGACTTTTGCATGTCGAGCGCATACCGAGATTTGAATTTCGAAGGAAAGCTCGCGTTTCGTCCGTTTATATGAAGTTACAATACTGTATGATAGTATTACCGTGTCCATTTCCACCGAAGCGGAGCCGAGTGGAGATGCAAATATAAAATCTGATTGGTTATTCAAAACACTTCCCTGCTCCGCTCCGCCTTGGTGAAAACCGGGCCATAATTTCATTGTTATTTCTTTATTATGTTAAATATCGCACTATTATCCTATTGAAATTAATAAATAATAATAATAATAAATATCCTTGGACATTTTACACTACGCTTCTAGTCCCAAACTAAGCAAAGCTTGTACTATGGGTACTAGACAACGGATATAATCATACTTAAATACTTTTTTTTTAATAAGATTGTAATAACATAAATTCTTTTGTCAACTATGCACGTTATTTTATCACTACTCCACTAGCACAGATAAAATAACATTGCTAGTGACACAGATATTTACCTAATGAACAACGAACCAGATGTCAACCATGTGTACCTCATTATACTATTGATGATGTACACACGCCCACACTGTTAACTATACATTTCCGTTTTTACTCTCGCTCTAATCAAATGGCGATTCTTTGCGATAGAACGAGATGACATGACTTTCAATGGGCAGTTAACACTGTTGGCGATAGTACATCGGCAACAGTGTTAACTAACCATTGCCGGTCATATCATCTCGTTCTATCGCAAAGAATATTTAATGAGAGCGAGAACAAAAACGGAAATGGATAGAACACTGTGGCCTAACATACCTACTTACGCCTACGCCCGATTCCCATATTCAATCCTTGTCCAAATCCGGATTACAACTGTCAAATTGAATTCAGTTTTAGATTATATTTCCAAAATTTTCGATGCATTTACACTTTAAGGCCGGGTAGCAGAGAAAATGGCAAAAATGAGGTTTTCATTTTTCATTTTTGAGGTACTAAACAGTAAAATTAAACGCTAAGATTTTTATTGGGCATAATTGAGGATATTTTCTAGGGCTATTAACGGATGGAAACACGATTTGATGAAGTTGACTCGATAGAATAAATTCCCAAAGTTACCTCTATTCGTTTTCTATTTATGGTTTTATTTTTAAAATAAGCGATTTGAGATTCTAAATCTTTTACTAAACTAAAGTTCAGAAATAACTTGAGGGCTTTTAACGGATGAAATTTTTATATTGCGTCTTATTTAGTTACTATGTTAAAAAATGTGGAAAAAATCGTCCATGACGGCTTGGACAATCTCAATCAGTCGCGCGGTGGCGCTTACGGAGGACGGACGCGTGTCAGTTTTTTGGCCGTGACAGTTCGCGATTTGTCAATATTTTTGACAATGATGACTTTGATGAGTCACAGTATAATAATATCAGTGTTACTGGAGGCCGTCATGCAGCAGCCGAGCGCCAACGCGCCCGTGCTTGTTGTGCATGTGAGTGAATAGTGTGTCGTCTAAAGCCCGGTCCGTGAGCACGTAGAATTTTGTCCAATGACCCCTAGCTACCCATTCTTATCGCTCGCGCGTAATTATATTGCTGTCGCGACTGCGACGGGCGCCCGCAGTGAGTGTGCGAGCGCGATAGCAACATAATTACGCTCGAGCGATAAGGATGAGTAGCTTGAGGTCATTGGACAAAATTCTACGTGCTCACGGACCAGACTATAGATAAACAAGTAGTAGTGCGCCGCGAGCGCCGGCGCGTGGCCGTCGTCATGCAGCAGCCTAGTGCCAACGCGCCCGTGCTTCTTGTGCATGTGAGTGGATAGAGATGTCGTCTAGATGAACAAACGCAGCAGTAGCGAGAGCCCGGGGGACCTGGAGACAGACACGAGCGGCTGCCGTCATGCAGCAGCCGAGCGCCAACGCGCCCGTGCTTGTTGTGCATGTGAGTGGATAGTGTGTCGTCTAAAGCCCGGTCCGTGAGCACGTAGAATTTTGTCCAATGACCCCTAGCTACCAATCCTTCCGCGACTGTGCGACGGGCGCCCGCAGTGAGTGTGCGAGCGCGATAGCAACATAATTACGCGCGAGCGATAGGGAAGTCGTCTAGATAAACAAACGCAGCAGTAGTGCGTCGCGAGCGCCGGCGCGTGGCCGCCGTCATGCAGCAGCCGAGCGCCAACGCGCCCGTGCTTGTTGTGCAAGTGAGTGGATAGCGATGTCGTCTAGATAAACAAACGCAGTAGTAGTGCGCCGCGAGCGCCGGCGCTGGTTGAGCATGTGAGTGGACTATAATTATTGGGAAATATAATTTATTGGGAATAACAACAGCCAATACATAAAATTAGAATTAATTCAAACATTTTTCTTAAACTAATTTATCCATAGAGTGAAACAATTTTGTTTAAAACTATCAAATTAAAAACAGATAAAATATATTATTAGCCGACGGAGGGATTTGGATTAGAATTGATTATAGCAACCTGGCGATGTCTCATAAATCATAGATCACATCATAATCATTTGAAAAAAAAAATAACAAAAATTTATGAGTTGACTAAATAACTTGTAGAGCATGTAGATAGCATTATAATGTCGTCTAAGTAAACAAACACATGATACATCCGATATTTTTTTTTATTTTCGAAGTTTTAACTTCACATAATAAAGGGGCATTAGTGAAGCCAAAAGGCGTATTATTGC